TTGCCCGATATGGAGACAGAGAGGTCCAGGAAGGGGAGAGAGGTGTTAGAGATGGTCCAGGTAAACCTATGGTTGGGGTGGAAGGTGTTAGTGAAGTGTATGAACTGTTCGAGCTCCTCGTGGGAGCACGAGGCGGCACCGATACAGTCATCAATGTTTGATCTCGCTTTATCATTCATTTAAGATACAAGGTCATGGGATTGTAATCTCAAATCTACATTCCAACTGCCCCGAATAACCCTCCAGCCCCTTTCTTACAAAGAATCTATCGACCTCTGCCTTAAAAATAGTTGAGGACTCTGCTTTCACCACATTCTCTTTCACCACATTCTCTGAGAATTCTTAAGACACTCAACCCCGAGAAAATTTCTGTCGATCTCTCTTTTACATGGGTGACCCCCTAGTTCTAGATCCTCCCAAAGGAGGAAAAATCCTCTTCACATCTACTCTGTTAAGACATTGCAAGAATTTATGCTTCAATCAAGTCACTTACTCTTCTTAAAACCAGTATGTACAAGCCTGGCCTATCCAAACTTTCTTCAAGACAATCCAGGTACAAATGAGTAAACCTTCCCTGAACTCCATCCAACACACTTGCATCTTTTCTATAAATAAGGAAGCCAGTACTGTACACAGTACCCCAGGTGTGGTTTCACGGTGCTCTCTAATGTTTCAACGAGGATCTGTAGCTCATGTTGTTGTTGGAGTTGATGTCTGGTTCGCCGAGCTGACTGATATTTCATGCAAATGTTTTGTCTCCCTTCTGGGTGACATCTTCAGTACTGCCTCGCCTCCATTGAAGCACTGTTGTTCTGTCCTGCCCTGAATTCATATATGTGATATATAAAATACCATGCAGCAACTGTGGGAAAGGCAAGCAGGAAACTCACCACCAGGATACAAGAACATCAACACACAGCAAAACAGTACGACCAACTCTCCCTTCTATCAATACACTCCAACATAGAAGGACAACACTTTAACTGGGACAAAGTTACAGTACTAGGACAAGCAAAACAAAGACAAGCACGAGAATTCCTGGAGGCCCGGTTTTCAACCATCAGTGCGATAAACAAACACGTTGAAATAGATCCCATCTTCAAACCATTACAGTACAAAACCGGAAACAAGACTGCCCACCATGACAAACCGGACAGTGCAGCGCTCCCTCAGCACTGACTCTCCGACCATATAGATTCAGGGCAGGACAGAACAACAGCGCTTCAATGGAGGCCAGACAACACCTGAAGATGTCACCTAGAAGGGAGACAAAACATTTGCATGAAAACCAGTCAGCTTGGCAAACCAACCAACAACTCCAAGAGTCCTGTCTATAACTGAAGCATGACCTCCTACTTTTGTATTCAATACTCCTCGCAATAAATAAAAGCATTATATTCGCTCTTCTAATTACTTGCTGTACCTGCATACTACCCTTTTTGTGGATTCATGCACAAAGACAACAGATCCCTCTGCCTTTCAGAGCTCTACTATCTCTCATCATTTAAATAATATGCTACTTTTTATTTCTCCTGTCAAACTGGACAATTTTACATTTTTGTTTCACTCACTCAAGCTATTAGTTACTTTTTATAACCACCTGGTGTCCTCTTCCACACCTCCTGTCCCTTTCTCCAAGCCATTTGTATAAATTGTAAACAGTTGAGGTCCCAGATATCTTTGGCTCACTACTCATTATAGCTTGCCCATCTGAAGAAGACCCATTTCCACCTTTGCTCTGCTTCCTGTTAGTCAGCCAGTCTTCTGCCCAGGCCAATAAACTACTGCCGACACCAAGAGTTCCTGTTTTCCACAATAACCTCTGATGCAGCACCTTCTCATAACCCTTCTTGAAATTTAACTGCAGTAAATCGTGTGGTTCCCCTTTATTCACAGCATAATAAAGGGTCCTCAAAGACCTCCAATAGACTGGTCAAACATGATTTCCCTTTCACAAAACCATGTTGACTCTACCTGATAACCTTGAACTGAAAGTGCCATCTTTTGGATGAAATGTTAACTGACACTTTGTAAATTTGTTTGAGGTAAAATCAATTGTTGCTTTATTTTGAAGAATAAAGCAGTTCTCTTCTATGTTCTTGCAAGTATTTATAGCCCCAATCAACATCACCAAAGACAGATTAATTAATTGCTGTATGTGGGAGTTTGCTGTAAAATCTCTTGCATTGCTTTCGTGACTACACTTGAAAAATATTGGATTGGCTATAAAGTGCTTTGACACATTTTGAGAACTTGAATTTTATATAGTACCTTTTTTTTATATATACAATGTATTATAAGTGAGTTTACGATCAGCCAAAGTAGTTGTAACAATTATACTTTATTATTAACTCAAGTTATAAAGAAATATTACTTAATCTCACAGACTAAAGAAGATCATTCCTTTTTCTGTGAAATGGAAGATAAATAGGAAGGGTCTGGAGGGATATGGGCCAAATGCTGGCAAATGGAACTAGATTAATTTAGGTTATCTGCTCGGCACGGACAAGTTGGACGAGGTGAATCTGTTTCTGTGCTGTACATCGCTATGACTCTCTGAATATATTTTTGCCAGCAGAAAGATTACTTGCTAAGACATTGATTGACCATCGCACTTTACGTTGTAGGAATCCTGCATCTGTTAATGTTTGTGCCTTGTTTTCAGATCTGTATCTTTATGTAACGTTGGTGTGCTCCCTGGGGATTATATCGCTGATGCTTTTCGCAGCCATTATCATTTGCCAGACTTTGAAAAACAGGAAGAAAACAAGAGGTGACTGTGATAACCCAGAATATAAAGTTGATACATTTATACATCTCCCTTTTATCAGGCAACATCTAATTTATCCAGTTTTGTTTTGTGGGCTCAGAATTTAATTGTTTTTGCATTTCTTTTACAGGGAGAAAATATTTGACCAAGTGTCCCAACAGCAGGTATTGCCTCTTAGTAAATCTGTTGTGAATTTTGCCAATGTTTATGCTTGTTTATTCAGCGGCTCCTTTGCCAACTCCAAGCTCTACTTGGTCAGATGTGTTGCTGGGAAAAGACTGTCTTCCTCTACCCTAACACCATTCACCACAGCCTTGGAAGTGTGCTGTCTACTGCAAGACCTTTGCATCTTCCCACACATAAGTGTAACAGTTTGAATCTCTCACCTATGGCATTTATTTGTGTAAGTGAGAGCTCTGCACACTAAGGAATTATGGGCTGCTGAGCATTAAGAGCTGGGCTGTTTTGCTGTAGGCCCTTGAAGACTAATCTCGTTCATCAATCTGGATTTGAATCCAGCTTCCAGTTTTGAAACAGCCTTCGCTTTCGAAGGCTGTCATTCACAATACCTAAGGCATCCCCTTTTCCAGAAGTGAAGATGTTCAGAGTTGTTCCCTCTAAAAATAACAAGGAGAGATCGACTGGTCAAAGCAGTTTTGTAAAATAAACTCAAACTTTCTATAAAAGCTTATCAGCCTGTGGAAATGAGAACTAACGTCTGAAAATGGTATTGTATGTTCATCTGTTGCTACTGTCAATGGTGGGATTATTGGAGTTTCACAATTGAGGTAAATAGACTTTTACTGGATTAGGATTTCAACAGAATCAGAGCTAATGCAGCTAGAGTTGAGCTGTTAACCGCACATGGCTTTACTGCTATAGGAAAGTGGGCCATTCAGCCCCTTGAGCCTGTTGCACCATTCAATGAGATCATGGGTGATTATGGCCTACCTCCATATACCTGCCTGTGGCCAATATCCCTTATATCTTTTTGCTTAACAAAAATTTATCTTTCCGATTTAAAATTAACAACTGATCCAGCATCCACCACCATTTGTAGAAGAGAGTTCCAAATATCTATCACCCTTTGTCTGTAGAAGTGCCACCTACCATCTCTCCTAAATGGTCTGACCCTAATTCTCGGACGATGTGCACTAGTTCTGGAATTCCAAACCAGTGGAAATAGTTTATCTTAATCTACCCTTTCATTTCCTGCTCAGTATATTGAAGACATTGATCAGATCACCGCTTAACCTCCTAAATTCTAGAGAAAACGGGCCTAATTTGAATATTCTCTCTCATAACATAACCTCTGAAATCCAGGTATCATTGTTACAAACCTACATTGTACTGCTTTCAAAGCCAATATACCTTCCTAAGGTATGGTGCCCAGATCTGCTCAAGGTGCTAACGACTGAGAAAGCGCAAGGAAATTAATAATCTACTCTCGTTTCAATATTTTATAAATTTTGATTAAAATACAATTGGAGTCTAATCTGAAGATTTAAAACCTGCTTTGTGTTGGTTTTCAGGAACTGAGCCAATTTAACCTTCAATGGGATCAAGCTGTAAAGCAAATTTGACCATGAGTTTGGGATGAGAACAGTTTTAGAAACTCTGGGACCAGTCTTATGCTGCATGATAAATTACTGAGAAAATGTATGGAATTTTATCATGCTATCCCTGAACAGGACTAAAGACATAAAAGAGGAATAGTTGTCAGCCTTGGTGCCTGGATTCAGACTCTAGGGTTTTTCAATATTTGGTTAATACACGCTTGGTATATTTAATATACCTATTTTATAAAGGTGAAAGAGATTTGAGTGCATTGCTATATCTTGTCTTGTGGACTATTAGGGAATACATGCCTGCTTGCAGAAAGCAAGTTAGGGACTTCTTTGTAATTAATATACTTTTTTTGGCTTTTGTTAAGATTGTCATTTTGACCAAGGCAGAAATTAATTTTCTAAATTGGGCAAAAATTCTTCTCTCCAATTGGGTGACATCTATCAGATGACCAATGATTATTTCTGTTAGTTATTTATACACTTTTTCAGCAATGTTTTGCTAAGAGTAGACCATAAAGAACTTGTTCTCCCTGATTAGAATAGAGTTGTCCCCGAGTGTACATGGTGGTAATATCACCGGGCTAGTTAACCAAAGGTCCAAGCTAGTTCTCTGGAGGCCCAGGTACAAATTCCACTTGGAAAGGTGTTGGAATTTAATTTCAATTAGTAAATCTTGAATTGAAAGCTAGTCTCAATAACTATTATCAAGAAACCATTATTGATTACCGTAAAAATCCATCTAGTGCACTAACGTCCTTTTCAGGAAGGAAACCTGTTGTCCTTACCAGGTCTGGTGTACATGTGAGTTCAGATCCATAGCAATGTGCTTTCCAAAATGGTTGAGCAAACCACATCTCAATTCCAGGCCAGTTGGGGATGGACAAAAGCTCATTGTGTAGGGCAGTAGCATGGATAGAAAATCAGCTGGACAAGCGGAAATACACATGCATCAGGTTGTAACAAGTGGTATGCTGCAAGGATTAGTGGTCTCAATTGTTTACATTTTAAATAAATAAATGACTTGAATGAAGGGATGGAAGGTATGGTTACCAGATTTACTGACAACATATATTTCTATCTATAAGTTGTGAAGAAGACAGAGGGCACAGATAAGTGAGTGGCAAATGATGTATAAAGTGTGAAAGTGTCTTTTTTGGCAGAAAGATTAAAAAGAAACTGGTTATCTAAGTAGCGAGAGGTTGCTGAGCGTTGAAATGCAATGGACTCTGAGTGTCCTTGTCTATAATCTCACAAGGTTAATATGCAGGTATAGAAAGTAATTAGTGATGTTAATAGAATATTATTATTTATCTCAAGGGGATTTGACTATTAAAAATAGGGAGGCTATGATTTAGTTATACAGGGCACATCTGGAGTACTGTGCATATATTGGTCACTTTATTTAAGGAAGATTGTGGATGCATTGGAGGTAGTTCAGAGAAGGTCTACCAGAAAAAAAACCTGATATGGATAGGATTGCCTTCTGAGGACAGACTCAACTTGTATCCGCTGGAGTTTAGAAGAGTAAGAGATGACTTCATTGAGTCATAGGTTCCTGAAGGGTCTTGATAGGGTAGATGTTGAGAGGATGTTTCCTGTTATAGAGTCATACGGCATGGAAGCGGACCCTTCGGTCCAACCAGTCCAGGCCAAACATAATCCCAAACTAAACTAGTCCCCCTGCCTGCTCCTGACCCATATCCCTCCTAACTTTTCCTATTCATGTACTTACCAAAGTGTCTTTTAAATCTTGTAATTGTGCCCGCATCACCACTTCCTCAGGAAGTTCATTCCAGACACGAACCACCCTCTGTGTAATAAATTTGCCCCTCATGTCTTTTTTAAATCTCATTCCTCTGGCCTTTAAAATGTGACCTCTAGTCTTGAAATCCCCCATCCTAGGGAAAAGACAACTACCATTAATCCTATCTATACCCTTCATGATTTTATAAGCCTGTATAAGGTCACCTATCAACCTCCTGTACTCAAATGAAAAATGTCCCAGTGATATGAAGAGGAGGTTGACACCTCTCTGATAATTAAAACAAAACACCCAGAGAAGCTTGCCTCGCCTTGTAATCTGTTAAAGGAAGTGTGTGAAATGGTATAACCTACCTCTCACCCCTAATCTGGTATAAAGGAGTGGTTAAATGAAAGAAATCCCTGATACTCACTTTCTACATAACAAGTAACAATTTATTCTATCTAATTCTAACAGTTAACAAATTAACAGAACTAATAACAAACTGAACAATTTCCCCTGAACTACTGACTATTCCTGAATAAAACAAAATTCTAATGGTATGCTGTTCCAATAGGTACAAGTCCCACTTATATAAACCCAGATTAATAAAAAATACTAAAACTTAATCTCTTGAAATCACAGCCAGGATAAGTCTTCTGGAATGTTCTTTGCCTTCACTATTGTCCTGCAGTCAGGAACACCTTCCTCCATTGAATTCTTGTGTCAGGAATATTAGCTAAGAGTACTGTAATACCTTTAGTTTAGATGAAGGTTTTCTGAGAGCTTAGAGAATTCTGTGAGAGCCAATGATTCTTTCTTTTACAGCTGAGAGCTGTTCTCTTGTCAGATGACAGTTGACTCTCACACTGATTTTCAAATGGTCTCTTCTTTTATACCCTTGATGACCTGTCAAAATCTTACAATAGGATTTGTCCTAGGTAGTCAAAACCATCGTATTTAAATTTAATTGGGTTATGGTATCTAGGGCCTGGTTTAAATCAATTGGCTAAATTCAAAAACCTGTTGTCTTGGTAAAAATGCTGCTTTGCCTGCTAACAGTATAGCCTTTTGAGACAACATTTCAATTTCAAGAACTCTCTGTGCATTGCTGCTGCCTGCAGACTTTTTATTTCCAATCTCCAAGCCTAAAAAAAGCACATGTTTTAAAGGGACCACGCACCCTTGCCCCCACCGCCCCATCATGTTACAGACAAATTCTAATGTCCTACTTTCCAATCCATAAGTACTATACCAACTTCACAACATCCAGCCTTTCTTTATAACTCAAACCTTCCATACCTGGCAAGCAGGGGGTCACTTACTTAAAATAGAGAAGAGTTGCAATATTTTCTCAGTCTTGAGGATCTTTGGAACTCTCTTCCTGAAAAAATGGTAGAAGCAGTGTCCTTTTGAACATTTTTAAGGATTGTTGTTGAGCATAGGGGTGAAAGGTACTCGGGGTGGTTGGGAAAGTGGATTTGAGTTCACAATTGTAACAGCTGTGATCTTATTGAACGGCAGAGCGGGTTCAAGAGGCTAAACGGCCTACTCCTGTTTCTAATCAAAAGTAACAAGCTCTGGCCCCTACAGCAATGCTCACACGCCCACGAAACAACTAAAAAACAATGTGAAGGACAGAGGGAGTAGGTAAGGACTGCACTTCGCCAAAGATGTCACTTCCTGTTGGCTGAGTTTTAACCAGCAGCTTGTTACCTCTTCATATGGAGGTCAGATCACGAGTACTAACCGTGTGGAATTTGAAATAACAGTTTTGTGTTTTACAGTTCAGGAGAAACGGTGATGAGTACAGGCAGCATGTCCCTCCTACAACCCAAATCAGAAAAGAAAAAGGTTGTAGTGCAAGACTCACCACCTCCAATTCCAGTTAAAAGTAGGTTTGTCTCAATTGATCATACTTAGTGCAATTTAAACTTGAAACAATATTGATGTAGTCTAACTGTCATTTCTACTCATGTTCTCTGTGACACTTTTGAGCAAATTATTTACTGAGTTTCTCTGGCAATAGCAACCTGCATTTATATAGTACCTTTAATGAAGGATAATGTTATGGTGCTCTATATAACAATTGTGATTTTGCTTTAGAATATTCCAATGGCTGTGAAATCATTTGAGATATATGTAAGATGGGAAACGTGTGAAAACAATTTCTCCTTCTTTTCCCCTAAACCACCTGGGATGCCACAATGGCTCAGTGCTTAGCACTGTTGCCTCACAACACTAAGGACCCGATTTCAATTCCAGCCTCGGGCGACTGTCTGTGTGGAGTTTGCATATTCTCCCCAAGTCTGCGTGGGTTTCCTCTGGGTGTTCTGGTTTTCTCCTACAGTCCAAAGATATGCAGGTTAGGGTGGATTGGCCATGCTAAATTGCCCGTAGTGTCTAAGGATGTGCAGGCTAAGAACATTATCCATGGGAAATGCAAGGTTACAGGGATGGGGTGGGGTGCGGGTCTGGGTGGGATGTTCTTCGATGGGTAGGTGTGGACTCGATGGGCCAAATGGCCTGCTTCCACACTGTATTCACCTGCATAGGTCCCATCACCAATCTTGATTTTAGTCATTGTAGCAGAAAGGATGTGCTCATTTCCCTCTGGTAACTTTGTAGTAACTTTGGCTGGGTCCTCCCCATTGTACAGACCTCAAGTGAGAACAGGCCTTGACTGGGGTGAATAAAAACAAAATACTGCGGGTGCTGGAGGAAACAGAACATTAAAAACAAATTGCTGGAGAAACTCAGCAAGTCTGGCCACATCTATGGAGAGAGAAAGAGTTGAGTCCAATTACAGGTCGGCACAACATCATAGGCCAAAGGGCCTGTACTGTTCTACGTTCTACGTTCTATGTTCTATGTTCTATGTTCTATTTTCTACCGTTCTTTGGAAATGATGACTGAGTAAAGGCAGCATGTCGCTCCCACAACCTAAAAGAGAACAGGAACAGTTTGCAGTGAGTTGACTTGAATGAAACTCCTTGTGGTTGAACATGTCCAGATTCTCACTGAAACATTAACCATTTGGCTGAGATATTAGAATGTTACCAGAAATTTGGCCATAATGCTGAGAGGTGATTGTCAGCAAATATAGAGATAGCACGGAGTGCATTTAAGACAGGCTAGCCAAGTGAGGAGTCTAGCTCAATCATTTTAGGAACAATGGCATTTTTCTGTCGATTTCACGGAAGCTATTTACAAGGTACTTGAAAATGTAACATTTTGAGATGGTGACAATTTTGTCACTTTCAGAAGCATTTGGCAGCATCAAAAATATGTTTTCCTGTGCTGACTAGTTGAATGGTTTTGTGACAAAGCTGTCACTTTAAAAAGTTATTTTGAACTTTGTTTTTGAAGAGAGACTGTAATGCAAAGGTGATGATGCTGTCTCTAAGAAAGTAAATAATTTGTGAGGCCTTGAGTTTTTTTTCATAAGTTGGAGCAATGGAGGCAGTCTGGGTGTGGCCAGCTCTCTAAAACCGGGTTTTCTGTTTTTTTTTTTTTTTGGTTTTTAGGTTTAGTTTTGAGCATAAACCTTTGAGGTCTCAAAAGAGTTGGAGCTTCAGTGAATGTCTCCTCACTGCTACTTTCTCTGAATTTTCTCTGGATGTGTTTTCCTCTTGGATTGGAGAACTGCCTGTGATCATCTGTGTCTAAATTTGTTTTTTTGCCAAGGGACATGTTTATGGGATGTTACTAATATTGGAACAGTTAATTAGCAATAGGTACTGTTTCTATTATTTGGTTACGTTTTCCAATAGTTAAGCTATTCTAAATTTTTCTTTATTTTGTTTGTATTTTAATTGCATTGTTTAAATAATTTTGTGTTTTGTTCAATTTCAAGTAATTTGACCAGTCACATTGCATCTGGACCATAGCACTTCACATCTGCCTTTAAAATAAGAAAAAGTTAGAGGGCTAGGCTACCTTCTTAAATGTATATTGAGGTGGTCTGGTCAGGTCTATAACAGTTTGCTAAGTTAATCATTTCATAACTCTTCCATAGTATTGCGGAAGCCTGATATTTGGAGGCGGAAGATTGTATTCAAATAATGATAAAACCCTCATGTTTGCCTTGTGCCTGGGTATTTTTGTTGAATTATTTGTGGGACACTTCAGAAGACATTTATCTATTGTTCGGAAAGTTATTGTGGGTCTCATTTCTGAATTAGACGTCCGTACCAGCAAAACTTGGCGCCACTGCTAATTTCAAATGGACTGTACCATTGCGATGTGTAATAGAATACTGGGTTTTACAGACAACAATGGATGTTTGTAACCTTTGTAAAAATGACCGTGACGATCTTCTTATTCTGCTTATTTTTGCTTTAACTCAGCTTTATCTCTTTTTTTTTCATATTCTACCCTTGGTTGCTGGGCTGGAGTTTCACACTGATTTGCAATTTCAGCCCATTACTTGAGGTGGTTTTGTGTCTATTCTCCAATCCCTCCCAAAGCCTTTCCCTTCACCAAATAAAGAGAGATCTAAGGACACAATGACCCTGTATTGTCTGCAGCTTCATGTGACTGTTCAAATCCAGTCCAATACAGCAATTCAGTCATGCCTTGCAGGTTTCTTACATTTTTTTCTGTTCCATCGCTTTGGAACAGAACGCTGATTGTCTTGTCAGTTTGAATGCAAGAGAGTAGCAGAAACCCTTTATAATTAAACGGATGATACTGTTTGTGCAACTGATATCTGACGTTGGCTGAATGAATCCTGCTTTCTTCTCCCCTGACCTTGTGTCGTCAATTGTTTCTCAAAGAACTGTACAGTTTGAGCTGTCTCTTCCCAGCCTGCCAATTAAGCTGTATTCTGGGAAAAGAGATGTAAGCACTGCCCTTTCCAGCATTCCAGCTATTCCCGCTTACACAGTTAACAGTAATGAAGGCCTACTTAGGATATCAATCAACTCAAATACATAAAGGCCATTTGACTGCTGAAGAATTGATTTATGGAGACTGCTTGTAATTGCTGGCAGATGCCTAACCCTCCCTGTGACATTGCTATTAATAAAATAGTGGAAATCTAATTAATGGACCAAGCTGACGGCCAACATTTTATTTACTTACCTTACGTGATTTGCATTGCTCACAATCATTTTAGCCTTTTACTACCATAAAGAATTAGCCTGTCTGCAAACAGGCAACCAGAAATGTCCCGTGGTTATTCTTATTATACTAGCTTAGTTTCTATAGCATGGACAAGATGTGTATCAGACATATGCATACATCTGTAAATGCAAGATGCTGTTGAAGCCCATTTATAATCCCCTAACAGATGATCAGTAAACTAAAATCTGACAATGTATTGATGTCCCATGAGTCTTATTCTAGCTCCTGCTCTTACACGTTAGCAATTGTAAAGATCTATAGAAACCACCATTTTTATTAAGGTTACAGCATAATCTTTGGAATTAATCAGAAGCTAACCTGCTAATAGCCCAGTGCACTGGAAAGCAAATGTGACTGTATAAGTTGGCTGATAGCTCTGTAATGCCAACAGTGCCACAGGGACCACTGGCCTTGCTGGGACTAGAGGCAGTGTCACTCCCAGGATGGAGGGGAGATTGGGTGTGGTTGGTTGCGTCAAGGATGGGAGGGGAAACCCCATTTGGGAGGGAGGATGGTAGATAGGGCAGGTCGAGGGTTGGACAGGGATGTTGGATAAAGGGAGCATGTGCGGGAAAGGTGATACTGCAATTGTGAATGATGGAAGCCCCCCCTCCACCTCCTTTATCAGCCATGTGGCCAGCAGCAGAAATGGCTACAGGACTGGTTAAGAGCCTGAATCAAGCATGCTGGGAATTTTGTTCAAGCTAGTCTAAACTCTAACCTCAGTTGAAAATGCAGCCAGGACATGATATGTCCTGCAGTTTCCTGTGTTGACCAAACAAAGGGAGTGTCATGGTGGATGGCTAGACAGATTGGCACCGTAATTATCTTATATGGAGCCTGGAATGTGGCTGTTTAACATTTGGGTGTTGTTTGCTCATTAACACCATTGACTGGAATCAAATGGTTTTGGTCAATTCATTGGCTAGGTGCCAGAGAAGTTTCTGGAAATGAGCACATTTAGTGATAGAAGGTAACAGAATAAAGGATTTTTCAGGAGTGAGCCTTCGAGACCAGCATTTGAGAAACATGTGCTCTGAAGTGAGAGAATTGTGAGGCAAAATCTACACCGAGAGCAAAAGTTAGCCACTTCACTCAAATTGGGGTGGTATTTGTTTCAAGCCAAATTTATAATCCAGAGTTAAGTGTGGGTTAAGTTCAAATAAGGTAAGGTGCAGTTAAATGGAATGAGTTGAAATTAAATTAGACAAAGTAAATGGTGCAATGAATGCATGTTTGATATTGAGTATTATGCTTAGAGTTAAAATAAAGAAGGGTTTGTTTAAGTGAATTCTGAGTCAATTCCATGTCTTTTGTCTGTCACACAAGAAAAGAACACTTGAGTAAAAGGTTTGAGTACTCTTGGGGAACAGGCAACAACTGATAATTTCTTTAAATAAACAGTTGGGTTGAAATGAAATGAGGTGGCGATCCCTCACTTGTTCAGGAATGAGTTTGACAGGGTATTAGTTGGAGTGTATGACTCCAAAATGGATGCCATTGATAGAAGTCAACCTGATTGACTCCTTGGTCTACCTGTTCTGCATTCTTCCAGCAGCTTCACACAACAACACCTTTGCTAATGTGACATCGGACACAATTTATGGTAGTTTGTGTGAGAGTGAGTTAGAGTTGGTTAAAAAAGTCTCCAGTCTCAGTAGTACCCTGGCAGTGCTGGTGCACAATGAGTAAGTGGGCATTTCATGTTTTTCCTTTGTTGACTGACGATCAATTTAATTTTCTCATGTCCATGTGATTTATCCAAGAAAATTCAGTCATTACGCAATTCTAATGGGAATCCTTTAATGGAAGAATGGGATAACGATGACAAGCGCAGCAACCTGTAATCCAAAAGTGAACCCAGTGATGAAATTCATCCAAATGTTCCAACCATCCCGATCCCTATTTGAGTGGTTTCCTCTGAATCCATTATTAAAGATTTTTGTGCTGAGGAGAATAACTATGATAAGTTCTTAACACATCCTGTAAGTGATGGATTGCATTTCATGGATATTTTCTTTATCCTTCCGCAACGTAACATTTCTCAATCCACTGCAAAAAATCTAAGTCTAGAAATCGGTTTGCCCTTAATCCTTTGTTTTAAGACATAAAGCAGAAACAGCTTTTACCAATTTATGCCATAGCATACAGGTAAACTATTCTAATATGGAAAATAATTATAGTAGATCTCTAACATGTATAGCACCCAAATGTTGACCCATGCAGCAAGACCATTGCTAAGGTCCTTGCACATCAACATGAAACGTGGCTGCAGACTCTCAACCACTCGCATGTTTCAAGTCCCACAATGTGTACTAACTGCGAGACCACTTTTCAGAGCTTGGACTTTCCTTGATTAAGCTGAACCACAGGAGTATTGCCAGTATGTTTACTTAGTTAAACAATGCATTGTTTTGAGTGTGTACATAATAATGATGGTTTGTACATGGTAGTGTGGATTTCATGTACCATATGTTGTGAGTTTGGAGTTGTAATCTTGCTGAATTTAAAAAAAGAAGCCCTCTTCCCTCCTTCCTTCTATTCATTTCACTCCCTTTCTGTATTTTGGTTCACCCCTTCACCCTCATTATAGCTGTGTTCTATAATTTACATTTGCAACATGTTCCACACAGATTAAGTAACTCCTACGTAACAGCTAAACAGTTGAAGATAGTGTGAGGCCCCCTTATTAAAAGGAATTTAAAACCAGTCAATCCAAGGTTTCTGAAAAAAGAGTCATACTTTACTCAGTGTCTGCATTTTATGTCAATATCTGCCACTCTGTTTCTCTCTCCACCTATGCTGCCAGACCTGCTGAGTTTCTCCAGCACTTTTGTTTTCATTTCAGATTTGCAACATCTGCAGCACGTTGCTTTTATTAGTTGGAGAATTCTGTGCCTTGACATGGAAACGCATACTGCGTGTTTTTGAGAAAGAGCTCATTGTGTTCTTTGTATCCATTATCGCTTAGTGGGAAAATCCAGATGTGCATTTCTTTGGTTACGTGATCAATATATGCTTCCGTCCTGTCTTTCAGGTCCAACAAGAGACACGTCAAATAAGAAAAAATTTTTGAAGAAGCAAGATGCAAAATCCATTCTGGTAAGTATGTCCTGGATATTAATTTGCACTTAAAGCTGGACCGTAGGAATTATTCATTTCTAGTATATTTCCCAAAATAATTAAAATAAACAGGTCAATTCCGAATTCAGACCCCTCTTGTGAAGATAGTTCTCGACAACAATCAGACTGATTTGCAGTCTGGATTCCTTATGAATTCCCTATTCAGTAGATCAAAGTCCTTCAGTCCTCCCTGCAATGCTACATTGCTAATTTGACAAGGGTGAGTTTTATTAGCTCAAATCCTTTTGCTTTAAGCTTCTATTAATGAAAATTGTATCCTGGCAAACTGACTTTTTTGTTATAACTACATATCTATGATATTTATTCAGCTGATGAGTCTAGTATTTTTAAAGATGTTGCTACGTGCTGGAAGCAGGTTCCTCCATAGTGCAGAACAGTTTAGTTTAATTCTGCAAATCTCCTTATAAACCAAGGTATTATTGCTAATTTTCAGTCTGCCTCTAACACAGTGGCCCATAGGATCAGATAAGACTTGCCTGGGCAATTTAGCTGTGATCTCTTGGACAGTGCAACCAAAAAAAAAAGTCCTGGGGAATTTTCTTTAGAGACTTTCTGTTAATTATACGAATATTGAAGATATTGTCAGGGGAGACTTGTGTTTGGGTGGGGGAGTTGGAAACAGGAAGTTGTGATGTAATCTCCAGGAAATGCCCCCCAGATTTGGCAAGCCCATCAGTAACTTGTATTGGATTCTGCTCTCTCTTTTTTGTTTGCATTTTATTAGTGTCTGCATTTTATATCAATATCTGCCACTCCCTGCAGTATTTATTTATATATTTAGATTGCTTACTTGTAATGCTCTGACAATGAGCGCTTACAGTATCTGGGCTTCCATCACTTCACATACAATTTACTCATCATAGCCTTGCTAATTTTATTGTGTTGTTATTGCTTTCTAAGATTCAATTATTTATTTAGTGCTGTTTGGCTTTATTGAATTATAGTTACTATCAGACCATCATAAAAATGTATGAAAACCGCACATCAACCCAACATGTCGGGTGACCTATTTTCCAGAACACTGCATAATTTTTCATATCCACACATAACAAAATAAAGAATAAATAGATAATCTACAATGGAACACAATGCAATTTTATGATAATTCAATAAAACACCAAGAGAATGTGGTTTCATAACTTGATGTGCTAAAATTTGCATGAGTTGGGTTTACTGGGACTATTTTAAGAGCATCAGTAAAGGCCCATCTTTTTTAGAAAGAAGACCTAGTGTGATTGAATGAGAATAAAATAAAACAGTAATTAAATGAGAGAACAGGATTTAACACGTCCACATTCATGGAGGCTGGTAAAGAAAAATATTTAACTGTGATCACATCAACGCAAGATGGCTGGAGTATTACAATTGTGGTTTTGATATTACATTATTGCCTTGATCTACTTGCTGGCTGTTGTGTTTAATGAAGATCTTTTATTACATCTCAAATTTTGTGAGGGTTCTTTTAAATTAGCTTCTGTTTGTAAATCGATTTTTGTTTTCCGCTCAGTGTTTCATTTTGAAGCCATTGGGTCATGTGTGCACTTGATTATAATGCAGATTGTGAGAGGGTGATTGATTCGGAAAATGGTGACGGCAATGCAGCAAAACAATGCATGTGGCACTGGTAATTGTTGGCTCTTATCCATAAAGGTTAACCAGGGAATTACAGATAGGTTTGCATTTATTTCCGTGCCAAAAGATTTGCAAAGGCTCTCGCTAAGTGTCTTCCACCTAGTAATTTGCTGGCACAACATTGCTATTTCTCCAATATGCTTATTGTCATTATAATTTACCCTATGCCAACATAGTTGAAATGTCACACTGCATCTGTACTCACAGTCACAAATGGCAGTAAGGTAGAGAAAGCGGGTCACAATGTTGTGGTGCAGTTGTACGTTCCCCTTTTCTGCTCCAGAAGGGCCAGGTCCAGGTCCCACTGGAGGTGCATGATAACCAGTCCAAACAGGTTGATTTAGAAAAAGAGACAGTAAGAACTGCCGATGCTGGAGTCTGAGATAACACAGTGTGGAGCTGGAGGAACACAGCAGGCCTGGCAGCATCAGAAGAGCAGGAAAGCTGATGTTTCGGGTCGGGACCCTCCTTCAGAAAAGAGTCCCGACCCGAGACGTCAGCTTTCCTGCTCCTCTGATGCTGCCAGGCCTGTTGTGTTCCTCCAGCTCCACACTGTGTGTTATGTTGACACTGGGGTGTTTTGCCTAAATGCTTGTAGACCGTGCTTCAAGGTCAACAGCATTTGGGTGACTGTCTTCCTAGTGAAGATAACATAGCAAAAAGGAAATCTGATGCTATTCAAAAAGATTTAGATTTTGAAATGACTACAGGAGACATTAATTGTATGCTCACACATCAAAGACAATTGGGGATGCCAGAGGTGACCACATCCCAAGATCAAAGTAAGGAAAAGGGCACAATTATCCTTCATTTAGATTGAGCTATCTTGTGCATCATTGAAAATGAAATTGGCTTTCTTTTTGTCATTATTGTTCCTAAAGTCATTTAGTTCACCACCTACTAACTTGGTAATCTCATGTAGGAAGAATAAAGGAGTTATCGACTAATCACAGTAATCATTGCTCACTAACCAATCAATATCATGCATCTCACCATTCTTTCTATTACTATGGCACCTGTATTCCATGGTGTGTGGGGAAGAGGGAGCAGAAATCCAATATTAGGATGTCAGACTGAAAACAACAAATGCTAGAGATCAGAGCGGGTCAGACAGCATCCATGGAGAGAGAGCAAGCTAAAGTTTTGAGATGACTCTTCTTCAGAGCTCAAATTCAGTACAGATTTCAGCATCTGCAGTAATTTTCTCTTACATTAGAATGTCAGTCTCTACTAACTCTGTGTTATTCATTGAAGTGGTACACTCAACAGTATCACCTATCAGCACCAAGTCCATGTTGTAATCACATTAGAGCTCTCGACTTGTTCTATATTTGAATGCGCTAGATCTCAGGGATCAAAGTCAGCCAAAGTTATGAGATTTTTGTTTTGAACTACAATGTGCTAATAGTTCCATGGTCTGTTCTGTGAATTTTCTAAGCCTAATGTCCAGTGTTTCATTGGCTGACTACAAAACAATGTATTTATTAATGCTTTACTTCCAAAGAGGAGAAATGTTTTGAATGATTGAAGCCAGCATAAAATATTATTTCAGACATCTAGATCAGCACCCTGTTGCTCTCGTTCTCTTTACGAGTGGGAGTAATTGTTCCCAATCTATTCTATCCAGTTGCTCATGATTTCAAAAAGCTTCAACTGATCTCCTTTTTAGTCTTTTTTCTCTTCAAAGAGAACAGTCCCAACTTCTTCAATCAATACCTGAAGTTGTTCATCTCTGTCACCATTCTTATAAACCACCTGTGTATTCTCTCCAATGTTTTCATATCCTGCTTATAATTTGGCTCCCAGAACTGTACACAGTCTGTACTCTGAATGGAGTTGGATATGGTCACTTTGCATTGAAGGAGCTCCCCATCATGAGACATTTCCCTAATGACTTCTGCTTTGGCACTAAATGATTTTCAGTCACATCTAAATTTTCCCAGATCAGGCAACTCTAGATGTACAGTCATGGAGTCATAGAGATCTATGGCACGGAAACAGACCCTTTGGTCCAACTCATCCATGCAGACCAGATTTCCTAAATTAATCTAGCCCTATTTGCCAACATTTGGCCCATATCCCTGTAAACGCTTCCTATTCATATACCCATCCAGATGCCTTTTAAATGTTGTAATTGTACCAGCCTCCACCACCTCTCCTGGCAGCTCATTCCACACATGCACCACCCTCTGTGTGAAAAGGTTGCCCTGGGGAAAAGACCTTGTCTATTCACCCTATCCATGCCCCTCATGCTTTTATAAATTTCTATAAGGTCATCCCTCAGCCTCCAACACTCCAGGGAAATTAGCCTATTCTAGAATTCTGACTTCTGTGCAAATTATTGCGACCACTTCAAGCTGCATGCAAGATCAGTGATCAAGTACACTGGGTGGGAGTGAAGATCAGAAATAGTGTGTTCTTTTGCAACTGGAACCACAGCAATTAAAGTCAATTCATGAGTCCAACTGATGCCTTAATATCAATTAAAACCAGAACCATATTCCCCCTTAATTCTCATAGCATTCTCAGTAGCATCTCCTCATTACTACTCGTAGTTTTCGAATGTGCCCAGGATTCTTAACAATATAATTGTGTATAATATGGACAATTAAGAGATAATGAATTGAATGCTATCCCGTTCTTTAAATGACAAACAATGCATTGATCAGTTATAATCTTTTCAATTGAGATTTTTACTAACCAAAGACAATAGGGTTAGAAGGTAAAAAAATAAGTATCAGGAGTTAGTTTGCAGATCGGCAGTCATGTAATGTTGGCTGAGTGTATAAACTTCTCAAGTAGCTGGATTGAGTTTGTATTTTAATATAAAATTTGACCTCTAAGAGCTCTTGTGGCACAGTGGTAATGTCCCTCACCCCTCATAGAGCCCCTACAGTGTGGAAGCAGGCCATTCAGCTCATTGAGTCCACACCAACCCTCCAAAGAGCAACCTATCCAGATTCACCCCTCATTCCGGTAACACCGCATTTCCCATGGCTAACCTACTTGGCTTGCACATCCCTGGACGCTATGAGCAATTCAGCATGGCCAATCCACCTAGCCTGCACATGTCTGGATTTTGGGAGGAAACCCACACAGACACAGGGAGAACATGCAGACTCCACACAGTTAGTCACCCAAGGGTGGGATCAAACCCAGGTCCCCGGCGCTGTACGGCAGCAGTGCTAACCACGGTGCCACTCCATGACCTGAGAGACCCAGGTTCAGGCCCTGTCTGTTCTAGAGGTGTGTAATGACATCTCTGAACAGGTTGATTAGAAAAACAGATTAAATATTTTTTTTTAAAAATTGGACCTCTTGTCAGT